AAAATGTTGGACTGATTTGAGTGTATCTGGGTTATGATAAGGTCCAGATACGTGTAGTAGATACATGTAAAATGTTGTGTACGCAACCGGGATAGTTCGGGGGGAAAAGAGAGAGAGAGAGAGAGAGGGAGAGAGAGAGAGAGAGAGAGAGAGAGAGAGAGAGAGAGAGAGAGAGAGGAGGTTATACCTTTATTGCACCTTTAATGCCGGGCAAGAATAATGTGGATAATAGGAAAACGAGTTAAGGGGAGGTCATGTGGATGGGATCTTTTTTCCCTCTTCAAATCTCGAAATCCGAATGTGGTGCCACCAGTTCAGTACTTTTTTTTTTTTTTTTTTTTTTGGTTCTGTTTTTCTTAACTTACCATCTGAGCTTGGGGATAATGCCTGTCGCGATCTGGGGGTGAGATGGGCTGGGATCGCTATCCGTGTCACAGCACGATGGAATCGCAAAGAGCAGCTTCATCAATGGCCGATAGGCTCTCCTCCTTCGGTTGATTGATTGATTGATTGATTGATTGATTGATTGATTGATTGATTGATTGATTGATGGATGGATTGATTAGTTGGCTGATTGATTGGTTTGTTGATTGATTGATTGATCCATTGATTGGTTCTGTTTTAAGCGATTGATTGATTGATGGCTTGATCGCTGCGTTGATCGATTGATTGATTGATTGATTGATCCGTTGATTGACACAGAGGAGATCAGTCAGCCCGAGGAACGTGACACAGCCCTCGACTCTCGTCCCATTCACTGTACTGCAAAAGAAGAAAAAAAGAAAATCTATGGAAAAAAAAAAATAAAAATCACGTCATGGGAGAGAATTCGAGCGCACTTACGTCAGCGGTCACCATATGGGCTGAATGGCAATTACAAGACGGAGGCCAGGAGGGCACGCAGGTAACCGCTGTTGCGGCTGCCAACGTCATAGAGAACCGCTCCGCGTGTTGCCCTCAAGTCACGTGGCGGCAGTGCGGTGCTGTATGGCGTGGTGCCGGCGAAGGCGGAGCTAGTAGGCGGTGTGTGCGTGCGTGCGTGCGTGTGAGAGAACAATCTTGAGACAGAGGAGGACGCGCGCGCGCGCGTGTGTGTGTGTGTGTTTGTGTGTGTGTGTGTGTGTGCATGTATAACCTACCCCACCATCTCTTTCTCTCTAGGTGGGGGGTAGGTTATCCATGCACAGACACACACACGCACACACACAGAGATACACACACACACACACACACACACACACAGACACACACACACAGAGAGAGAGAGAGAGAGAGAGAGAGAGAGAGAGAGAGAGAGAGAGAGAGAGAGAGAGAGAGAGAGAGAGAGGTATACGTGTACATTTTGGGATGTGGAAAATAGAAGGACAAGGGGGAGGGGAAGCAATCACAAAGGATATTGTGCGGTGTGCAGAGGTGGAGTAGTAGGAGGAACAGGAGGACGAGTGGGAGGCATGATGGAAACAAGTGTTAGAGAGCATATCGGGAAGACAGCACTTTTTGTTTTGGCTTCCAGTTGGGGTTTGTTCTCTCTCTCTCTCTCTCTCTCTCTTTTTTTCTTTTTTTTTTGCTTGCGGAAAATCAATTCGTCTTTTCTTCTTCTTTTCCTAATCTTCATTTTTGTGCGCGAAGGCACAACAGGTCACATCTGATGAGCAAAAAAGCCTTCCCGTAGACGAGGACCGCTGGAATTGCTGGCAGTCAGAGGATGGTCACACTACCGGTAGGCCCTCGAACTCGCAAAATCCCAAAAATGAGCGGCCAGATGGAGTCCCTGTAAAGGAAGGACTAGATCTGGCCGCTCATTTTTTGGGATTTTACGATTTTGAGGGCCTGAGTATGCCCTCAGCAGTAAACCTGAATCGCCTCGGGACATCCGTTTTTTTTTTTTTTTTTTTTTTTTGGGACATCCGTTATATAATTGGAACGATGAATTGGTTTTGGGGTCGAATTTTGCTGGTCCCTCGGGACATCCGTATAATAATAATAATAATAATAATAATAATAATAATATTATTATTATTATTATTATTATTATTATTTTACATCCGTATAATTGGACAACGATACAGATTAGTCATTTAGATTTAGCATGGATGGCCTCTGCGCGTTTTCAAGGATGGCACGTGTGCGTAAATCGAGAATGCTGCTGCCGAGCCGCCGAAGGCCATCGCCACACCAGTCTCGAAATTGTGCAAAATGAGAATGAACTTCCTGCTAGAACATGGCCAGATGCACCCGCTCCAGTTTTGTCTTTTTCACATTTCGAGAGTCGTGCGGCGAGGCCCTAGAACACGGATACACACAAAAAAAGATGCAGGCACTGACATGATCTGATAATGCAGGATCTGACATCATCTGACATCATCTGACATCATCTGACATCATCTGACATGAGGCGAAGGGACTCTGGACCCTTTCTTTTTTCCCAGCAGCAGGTGCAGCTCCCCACCGATAGAATGGTGGATGGTGGTGGGGCCATCACAAAAGGGTGAATTTTCCCCAAAAAAAGAAAAAAAAAAAGAAAAAAAGAAAGGGTGAATAGGGGTGAGATCCCACTCTTGGAGGGGTGCTGTTATCGCGACCAATAGTTGGACGAGGGCATGGGGGGATGGTAAGATGGAACAAGAGATAGGGGAGAATGTGAATGTGCGAGCAGGTGGACGCAATTGCAGTCAGATACATGCGGGAGCGACCGTAATTGTGGTCTTGGATGTAATGTGAGAGCAGAGAAGGTTAAAAATAAACGAGGAGGTATAAAAGAGGGGGCGGTAGCACACAGAGACTTCTCGTGGAATGGGTCATATCAATTCATCTAGGATTTTTTTTTTTTTTTTAAATCGAGAAAGAGAAAGAGAAAGAGAAAGAGAAAGAGAAAAAAGAAAGAAGAAAGAGAAAGAAGAAAGAGAAAGAAGAAAGGAGAAAGGAGAAAGAAGAAAGAGAAAGAAATGAAGGCTCTGATACGGCAGTGTGGTTGGATGTTGATGCTGTACACAGCATATACTCATACAAGGACGTTTTTGAACGGATCTGGACGTAATTCCAGTTCCATTCAGGAGGGTTCTAGTGTGGGTGACACGCCCGTGGGGGTTTGATCTCCTGCTCTTTTTTTTTTCCGGACTTTGGGGGGTGGGTTGGGGTGGGGTGGGTTGGGGTGGGCAGGTTGGGAGGGGGGAGCTAAAATTATGCCACCTCCCTTCCTAATCAGCTAACAGGATCAAAATCCTTTTGTTTGTTTGTGTTTTTAATAAGAAAACGCAGCTCCCTTTTGGATGTTAGAGGTGTTGATACGAGCAGCCACCTCTTCTCAAACAATAGGAGAGGGTGCATCTATTAGTGGGGGAGCATCACCTGCTGGAAAAAGGGTCCAGCTTCCAGCCTGCCAGCCTTGAGTACATTGAGTCTGAGTGTCTGAATTGTGTCTGAGTTGTATGAGTACATCGCCCAAATTGTGTCTGAGTGTCTGAATTGTGTCTGAGTTGTATGAGTACATTGAGTCTGAGAGTCTGAATTGAGTCTGAGTTGTATGAGTACATTGAGTCNCTGAGAGTCTGAATTGAGTCTGAGTTGTATGAGTACAGTGCCCGAATTGTGTCTGAGTGTCTGAATTGTGTCTGAGTTGTATGAGTACATTGAGTAGACTACTGCCTGCCAGGCTTGATTGCCCTGGGTACCAATTAGAGGTGGAATAGAGAATCTGATCGAGATCAAAATGGCATACGACGAGACCATTTGAAGACAGCAAAACAGATCGCCAAAGCGAAACAGGTCGTACGTGCTGTCTCAGGTGCTCTGAGGCAACAACGGATGTTGGTCGCTCCTGGATGTATCTGACTGCAATCTCGTCCAGGGAAGCCCTCATTGTTCTTTCTTTGGGGGAACAAGAAGAACACAATTATTACGGTCGCTCCTGGATGTATCTGACTGCAATTTCGTCTAGGGAGCAGCGGCAAAAGTCCCAGTTTTTTATTAGTAGGCATTGAGGCAAACCCCAGGTGAGGTGCCCTACTGGTGGAGATTAATGAAGAATCATCTCTTTTTTTTTTTTTGGGAAAATTTTCGAAATGCCCCTGAAGTTTGCATTTATTTGCGGCATGCCCCTCTGACGGCCGACTTACCTTGTCGTGCCGCTCTGACGACAATTGATGTTTCCAGAAACCCCCTGGCGTCATTTGGGCCTCAAACATGTTTCATATGCCCCTACCGGTACCGGTACCAAATTTTCAGTATGCCCCTACCGGCTGCCTGTTGAGAACCAGCAGAATATGCTCTTACCGTCCATCTTTCCAGCACGCCCCTGTCGCCATTGTTGACACTCGCAGTCCACATGCGGGAAGAGGAGGGAAGGGGGGGGAAGAGGAACACGGAGGACAAGGACTATGACGATGTTGGACAAGGGAGGAACGAGGGAAGAGGAGCGAAGAGGAGTAGGGAGGACAAGGACTACGATGATGCACGAGGATAGAGGATGGAGGCTGGCGGAGAAGAGAGGAGAGCGACGAGCATGGATATGGGAGGAGGGAGGAGGGCGATGAGCATGGGTGGAGGAGGAGGGAGCAGCGATCCATGGCGCGGCGAAGTGGAAGACTGACTGCTGCACCATTTTTGGGTGGCGGCGCGTGAAATAGCTACCATTTTGGAGTTCGGATTCCTGCCGCCACTGCTGCAAGGGCATCACAGAAAGATGTGTGGCCCTCGTGAGGGCATTTCAAGGACGGACCGACGAAACACCACCAGCGGTCCAGTAAGGGCATATCGGAAAGTTACGCCCATGCTGACAGGGGCCTGCGAAAAATTTCATAGGCCCGAGGGGCATAACAGGGTAAGTCGGCCATCAGCGAGGCATGCCGCAAAAAAATGCAAACTTCAGGGGCATTTCGAAAATTTTCCCTCCTCTTTTTTTTTTCCCTCAAACAACTCTACCGTCTTCACATGAATATAGCGTATGCGGTCATTTTCGCTGCATCTGGACTGAAAGGTATATCCATATACGGCTAATATGACCGTACCTTCTCTTGGGGGGAAGACAGTAGTAATGGATGCTTGAAGCATCATCTCACCTGTGGGGTTTCCTTTTCCCTTCCCATCGTTCGGAGACATTCTTCTTCTGAGGTTTTTTTTTTTTTTTTTTTTTTGGTTGTGAGTCTAACTAGCGAAGTTTGTGATGCCTTGGCACGCAGGAGAATGCTGGTGATGAGCTTCACAGCCAGGCCAGTGGCCAGCAAGCTGCTGACAGGGATGATGTCAGGCGTCAGGCCCTCCTCGTCATCTGCAGCTGTACAGTCAACAACTGCAGATTCGGGCAGCATGGCTCGCGCATACGATTCTGCCTTGAAGGCATTAATGTCATTGGGACCGGATAAGATCGCACCGCCAGACGAGTACAAGACGCGTCCGGAGGTCAACCTACGTATGGCAGGATACGTGGAAGCGCTAAATTTAGATTCGGCGATCGATAATTTGAGTGTGATTCACGTGGCAGGCACTAAGGGAAAAGGATCTACCTGCTGCTTCACGGAGAGCATTCTGCGACACTCTGGATTTCGGACAGGATTATTTACATCGCCGCATCTTCTAGACCTGCGAGAACGTATCCGGTTCGATGGACAAATGGTCTCCAAGTCGTTGTTCAGTGATCATTTCTGGTGGTGTTGGGACAGACTAGAGTCGAGATCAAGGTCGGGGTCGTTGCCGATGCCCGGGTTCTTCAAATTTATGACGCTACTAGCGCTTCGAATGTTCGCCGAACAGAAAGTCGATGTCGCCATTCTGGAAGTAGGCATAGGAGGACGACTGGACTGTACAAACGTTGTCCGTTCGCCAGCTGTCTGCGGGGTTACTTCCTTGGGATTTGACCACACTGAAATTCTAGGCGACACCATTGAATTAATCGCCGCTGAGAAGGGCGGGATTTTCAAGAGGGGTGTGCCTGCCATCACCTGCTCGCAGCTGGAAGGGGGTATGGCTACCCTGGAGGCGAGAGCACGTGAGTTAGGCATTCCTTTGGAGCTCGCGCCACCGCTGTCATCCCTCCTTTCCCAAAGAAGAGCTGGTACACTCCACTCCTCAGCAAGCACTGGTAGGTTATCTGGACCAGCAGGTAGAGAAGCAACAGGTAGAGAACCAGCAGGAGGAGGAGGAGGAGGAGGAGGCACGTCAGTGGAGAAAGACAAAGGCTCGGGGGCGTTTAAGCTGGGAATTGCGGGGAAACATCAAGATGTGAATGCAGGACTGGCAGTTGCTTTGTGTGGCAAGTGGATGGAAAGGGCAGGGCATAGAGAGTGTGCGCGGAATTTGGAATTCGCACTGATGGAAGGCCGTCTCCCTGATATGTTTGCACGAGGTCTGGCTGAGGCGAAGTGGCCTGGACGAGCACATGTTGTGCACGACGAGGTTGTCGTTAATGCAGCAGCGTCTTTGCAGGGGCCAAGTAATGAAGGGAAAGGGGGGAGGGGAGTGGAAGCAACTGCAACTGCGGTCGATTCTGTTGCAGCTGTGTCTGTAGAGGAGGGGGACAGGGGTGACAACAGTAGCATGTCCTTGACTACGAGTGGCGATGGCGATGGGAATCCAACGGTGAGAAAAATTAGGAACTTAACATTTTATCTTGATGGAGCGCACTCGCCAGAGAGTTTAAGTGCTTGTGCGGAATGGTTTTGTGACGAGGTCATTGCCAACAGCAGCAGGAGAGAGAGTGGAGGAGGAGGAGGAGGAGGAGGAGGAGGAGGAGGAGGAGGGGAGGAGGTGGAGGACAATAGGAGTGGCAACGACGGTGTGGATAAGCAGCAACATCAAAGGGTCCTGCTCTTTAACTGCCTCTCGAAGAGGGACCCGAACAAGCTCTTCCCTTCCCTTCTCTCAGTAGTAACCAACCGTGGTTTAGCATTCCATAGAGCTATATTTACCCCATCAGAAAGTAGCTTCACCGTTTTGCGAGGGCTCTCCGATCCGCTGTCTACGACCGCCGATCTCAGTTGGCAGAATCAGATCAAAAGCTGCTGGGATGAGCATCTCCACTTATATTCTCCAATCCTTCTGTCTGGCGATCACGGGGCAGCAAACGCACCTGCGAATTGTCAAACACCTGCTAATTCACCGCCATCTCGTTTGTGCGCCAGCGATCCCCCCCATACGTCCACACCCTCCTCGCATGCTGCTACTCTGCACTCACCCCTCTCCCCCTCTGAGGCCATCCCCGCCCCCACCTCGTCCGCTTTGGAGCCATTTAGCCGGGGGTCAAGAAGCTCAGTTATAGGGTCCCTTTCTGAAACCTTAGAATCGCTCCGGCAATCTGCAAGGGAGAATCCTTCCATCCATGTACATGTCCTTGTAACTGGGTCACTCTATCTTGTTGGTGATCTGTTGCATCTGTTGGGAAACTCCACCAAGTGACATTCTTCCTATTGCCGTCACAGTTTTCTTGCTCTCTATACAGTCTGGAAGTTTTTCTTGCATTCTAGATCTGCGAAAAAGAAGAGAAGAAGAAGAAGCTCAGTGGGTGGCCTGAATTCCCCGCAGCGAATGCCCTACTCGTCGACACGAAAAGACTTTATTGTTCTTCCCTCCGTTTGCCACTTTTTGTGCACCGATGCACCTGTTGGTAGTCAACGCTTGCATAAGGCAGAGACAATCATCAGGTGCCAAAAAAAAAAAAAAAAACAATCGGGTGCAAATGATGCAATCTACATGTCTGATCATGTTGAGATGGGAAATTTGGTTTCAGTCCTTTCGGATGTATTCCCCTAAGGGTTTGGAATTGTAAAAGCAATCTGGTTGGTCTGAACGAGGAAAGAGATATCAGATGGAAGAAGAGTCAAGCCACAGAGAGAGAGAGAGAGAGAGAGAGAGAGAGAGAGAGAGAGAGAGAGAGAGAGAGAGAGAGAGAGAGAGAGAGAGTCATTTGGCATGTGCCTGTCCTGGGTGAGCAGTGGTCAGGAAGCAGGGGCAGTCCAGGAAGTCATCTGTTGTGGAGTTAGAGGGGTGATATGAGTGCGGGCTGGAGGGTTGTTTTTGTAGAATCATTATGTCTTGCTCCTTTTGCTGTCCCCCCTCCTCTACCCCTGGCAGCTTTCCGGCGTTTCCGCTACTTCCTTCACTCCCTTCGTGCTGACAGATGGAGCAAGTAAGCTCTTGTCCTGAAGTTTGACGAGCCAATGGTATGCACGGGAGGGCAGGGAGCGTCATGGAGGGAAGCGCTGTGCAGTTTGTGGAATGCAGGAAAGTAAAAACGAATGAAAAAAACGCGAATTCGGGATGTCAGTACTTTTTAATATGGTTAGGAAGAATGGCGTGTTTTTCTCCGTCAGCTGTTTTTTTTTTTTTTTTTTTTTTTTTTAACCGAACCTTATGGTTCCGGCTCCTTAGCGTCAGTCCGGTTCCTATTCCACCGGCAAGATGGAGAAGATTACAAGATATACACGCTCACGCTCCTCCCCCTTGTGGTGTGGCTGCCCGAAGGACGGCATTGATTACTTCCCTAGGGAAGGATGTACCACCCTTCACCCCTGCCTAAGTTAGCCTGTGTTACTGCGAACCTGGATTTGTCACGTAGCTGGGTTTTTTTTTTTTTTTTTTTTTTTTTTTCCTCTTTTTTTTTTCTTTTTCTTTTTAAAGAACACAGGCAGCCTAATGTCGTATGATCCAGGCGCTTCGGCCTGGTTCATACGATTGTCGCGTAGCTATTGCTAGAACCCTAAACCCTGACTTGGTACGTCCGTGTCTTTGACTAGTCTTCGGGGACCATGGCTGTAACTTGACTTGATGAGGTTAGTTAGATGCCTCTTGAAGGGGATTGTTGGGTTTAAGGTGAGAGTGATTTTGGCAGGGAGGGTGTTATGTTTTGGGGGGTGGCTGGGTTTGGGAATGTGAGTTTATCGTGATGTACCGAGTATTGTAAGGAGGGAGTGGGGGGGGAGGGGTGGAGAGGGTTTAGCGGGTGGCTTGACGGGGGTTGAGTTGATGTGGGGGCGGACGGTTGAGGGTGTGGGGTGCATGATGAGGGGAAGGGGTAGTTCTGGTGGGGGGCGAGGGGTCTTAAATGGATCGGTGGTGGGTGAGTAGTGATAGGGTGGATTGGGGCTGATTGAATGTGGGGTGTGGGGGTTGTGTGGAAGCTTTATATCTGTGTTATGGTTAGCCAATTTTTCAGAATTAGCCTGTCGTTGTTAATTGTGCCGAGTAGCCCATTACCTAGTTTGGAGAAGGAGAATTTTGGATTTTTTTTTTTTTTTTTTTTTGTCTGGATCAGTAGGGAGATTCTTGAGTTGCTTTTTCCATAGGGCGTGGATTTCGGTGTCTATTAGTCGTTGAATAGTGACGAGTGGATTGTCGGGGGTGGCGCGTCGGTCATCGAAGGTGTTGTCGCATCGGTTTTTCCATATGGCCCATAGGGTGCTTTCCTTGATTTGAGATGCGAGGAAGGCTTCAAATCCTTTGAGCAGGGGTGATTGATTGAGGTCGACGAATAGGCTAAGCGTGGCGGGGTTAATTAGAAGGGGAGAGTCTGAGATTTTAAACCATGATGGCTCTAGGGTTTGCCAGAGGGATCTTGCCTTTGGGCAATCCATGAAAAAAAAAGAAAAA